GTACGCTTCCTCCGTGTAGCGTAATCCGAAAACGATAGTTTGATTAAACTGGAAATGGAATTTTAATGGCGAAAGAGGAGAATAGCGTAAGGGAATAATCAGCTTGTATCTATCTCTCTTGATACACCCAAACCGAACTGATGACGTGACGGTTTTCCACTTTTTTCCTTTTTCCTTCCGGAAGATTTGCATTTTTACGATTTGGCTGGCTGGGTTTAAAATGAAGTGAAGGCTGCGTAACATGTGGGTTGTAAGAAATAAAAGAGTAATTTTGAGGGTTGGAAGAACATTTTCAAAAAGGTAATTATATCAATATACCTTAATATAATATTATAGAACCGTGCTGGGCAGACAAATAATTTCGCAGCTACACAATTTTTTCTTCTAGAGGAAGAGCACAACTTGTTAGAAAAGGGATTGCTGAAAATTACTATAATATGTTTGGATGCCGATAAAGAATTTGGTTGGAGTTTAGTTGAGTCCCCCGGCAAAGGTCAAAATTAGTTTATTGATGTATACTCCAACAGCAACTCCAGCTAGACCAAAAGAAGAAATACTTTTTTACTACAAAATCACCATTATTGGCTTCAAAGCACTACAAGTAATGATAACAAAAAAGATCACACCTTTAGTTCTTTCGAGGCTTTTGGCAGTTACATCACAGTGTCGTACGAAAAGAGGAATTTCACTCTGCGCAAACCGATCCCTAACGCACCCGCTACTCGCTTTTGCACACACGCATGAATTTCATAATATTTAAGACTTTCGATACTTTACTTCGATTTTCAGGCACTACTATGTTTTAAATCGATGATCAATAAGGGTAAACACAAATCACACGCCCATGACAAACAAATTATGGTACTGGCAGCGACGAGCATAAATGTGCAAGGAAGACCCATACGTTGTCGAGAAAAGTTTCATAGCGGTGAGACAAAACTAAAAGACCTATGCCTTTGAGCTTACACAAACAAACCTCTGCGGGTAGAGACCAATAATTGCATATGTATGTATGTGTGAGGAAAATGGATGAATGAAACTTACTGTAACCTGCCAAAAACTGTGAAAAGGCTTACAGCAGGTAGATAATGTTGTCATTTGAAATTGTATCCTTCCAACTTCATTATGTTAGTTTGACAACTTTTTATGGGCCTTATATAAGATAATTCTTGTGAATTAAAATACAACCGTCAAATGTTAGGACCTTATTAAACTCTGAAAGTGAAATAAGTCAGTCCGCAGGCCAATTCTGCTTCATACTGCATTCATTTCGATTTTCAGTTTGACATCCGTCAACAAGATGTTTCAAAGTACTTGTAAAATTAGAACTTATTGGTTTCCGTATAGGTGATGGTAAAGAGTCATTTATAGTATGAAAATTTTTAAATCTTATTTTTTTATACCGATGCAGCCGCGCAGGCAGAAGCCTAAACGCCAGGACACCGCGGCTGTAATGATGTTCCAAAAGAAATTTTGTTAGTACGATTTTTGAACTGCCTAAGGTTAGTAGAACTGGGAAAAGCTTAATGATTATTAAATAGACCTAATGTGGCCCGTCGGCGGACTTGTACCGCCACCCGACAATCGGTACTGAGGTATTCCTTAACGCGAGTACGATCACTTGAACGGAAAGACCTTGTATACTCCGCTCAGAAAGGTGAACATTTCTATATCTTATAAAATCAAATGTAATATGAATATAGTGTTAGTGATGAAAATAATTATATACCTACATATCCTGTTTAAAAATGCTATTACGAGTACTGATCCCGCACATGTTATCTCTCGACGCGCGACCAGCTATGATTGTGTTGAGCTATGATTACATTATGTGTTACAATTAGCTATAACTACCAGCTAAGACTTACCGGTTACAAGTGAAATTAGCTATAACCGAAACTACAGGAGACGAAAATGAATTGTTTGCCTTGAGCATCTATAAGGTATAAAGACATGATTTTAATAATATAAATAGCCGGGTTCTGTCAAAGAGCCATTCATTTCGGATGGTCGGAGTTCAGACCACCAAGGACTTGATCTGGCACGTACACATCCCACCAATAGCGGCAGATGCTGGGAAAACCTAGGCTATTTGTTCAGGGCAAAGAAGCACTTTTCTCCACATAACCGCCTCAGTCTAAATAAGGCCGAGTTGAGACCTAGCTTCGAGTATGACTCACACGTTTGGGGTGCTGCCATCCCGACTAAATTATCCTAGCTCGATGCTGTCCAACTAGTTGGTGACTCTTCGCTAACAGACGGTCTCGGAACCCTTTCACACCGGCGAGCAGTCGGCGATCTAGCTCGCTTCGACCGCTACACCAATGGATTTTGCTCCTCCAGGCTCTCCTCCATGATGTTTTCGCACGATGTGCCTGCCATACAGACCCGCCTAACTTGGGTCTCCCATCCTAACCGTGCCGAGCTTCGCACATCCAGAATTGGCCCATACGACAGCTACTTTGTCTCTAGGGCGTCTAGATTATGGAACAATCTACATGAGGAGGCTTTTCCCTGTTCTACTAACCTTAGGAAGTTCGAAAATTGGATTAACAAAGTATCTTTGGGGTCCTCATAGCAATCGCAGTGCCCTGGTTTTTAAGTTTTTTCGTGCGCGGCTGCTGGGTATCTGTATTTTGACCAAAACTGGTCTCCTAGATAAATTAGGGGCATGGATGACGCAACTAGTAGATACAACCTTCTTATTGAGGTTATCGGCTCCCCAAAGCCAAGCTTTTTTACTCCAAATAGTGCCTCGAGGCATTTTCATTGACCACGTCTGAAACTGACTATCCAGTCAATACCATAACTTACTACGGTTCCCTATAAAAGAAAATAGGCTACTTTTGTGTTGGACCGGAGTAGTGTGATTTATCGAGAAAGCAGGTATTATCGGGTTGAATGATTCATATACATACACACATAAATATTATATAGATGATTATGTTCTGTCTTATAGATGCCAGAAGGCGCTCATCTGGTAAATCCCATTTCAGTATCTGGCATATCTGTATCGCCAGACGCCAGGGCGTTATATTCGGATGACCTGGCTTGAAGATAGCGTTGTCGTGCAAAATCAATATGTCCCAATACTCAGATGTCACGCGTCGCACACCTTTATTGCTCAGATACCGATCTCGTGTAATAAGCACGTCTGACAGGAGATATTTGCCTCATAAACCTAATACATCATCGTTATAATACGATCGAATGGTTCGGTATCTGCCAGGAGAAGAGTCAAAGAATACCGTGTCATCATTTTATCCTAACTTTAAACGTAAGTATTGCTGCTTTTGTTCTAAAAACTGGTTTGAAATTGACGCTTCCTTCAAGACATAATTCAGAGTGTTCATTTGAATACTTCCCTCCACGGATTTATCGGAAACCACTGATTAAAAGAAAAAACACCGATACACGTTAAAAGATTTGACAAGGGGAGCAACATTTAAACCAAAAACTACTTCACCCCCTTTAACTCTAGGTCCCCCACGGTCGTTCTATGAAAAATTTTAAATGACAAGGAGAATCGAGTAATAGCTTGTTTCTTTTGAAATCCTTCATTTTGACATTTGAGTTTTTTAAATCAGTCGATTTGTTTTCATGAAAATTGTAAGAATCTCTATTTATTTTAATATGCCCAGATAGAAAACAAAAACTCAGGAAAATATCACTTTTTATTCCAAGTGTTCAAAGTGTTGCCCGTTAGGATATGCCAAATCTACCATTCGTTTATAATTTGAAACGAAAACTATCTACATAAACAGCAATTGGGAAGATCAGACTTGGCAACAACCAAGTAACAACTCGAATTTCCACATTCTTTGCATCAAGACAGATATCCTGGGCGAACTGCATTCATTGTTATACCTGTTTAGTTATTTGTTGCTAAGGGAAAGAAATAATTTAATTTGGTGTCAGTTACTTTTGTGACAATCTTGGTATAGTGAAGCTTAATTTGTTGATTCAGAATTACCTTCCAAAATGGTTTACACACTAGCAGAAAGGGTGGAAATGATTCTAATTTATGGTGCCCAAAATAAATAAAAGATACCTTCACATAGGCATGTTTTGGACCTTGTTACTAAATTTACTCAAACCGGATTTCTTAAAATAAAAAACGTGATCATCGGAGAGTTTTGGATGAAACCGCTCAAGTTGAAGTTTTCGGTGCATTCTGGAATAAATCGTAATACTTTATTACGCAAAATTTTTGCTGCGACAGTTACTTAACTCATAAATTTTATCCATTCAGAATGAAAATATTCCAAGAGTTGACCGAAGATGATTTCGATAGACGAATGGCTGCAGCGATTAAAAATACCATTCAGGTAAAGAATATCTGCTTCAGTGAATGCAGATTTGGTAATAAGCATTAATAACTGCAGTTATTGGAGCAATAAAAATCCTCTTGCCTTGGTACAAGGACATACCCAGTACCCCCAAAACATTAATGTATGGACAGGCATTTTAGGAAACATGGTGATTGGACCATTGTTTACTAATGGAAATTTGAATGGAGACATTTATTTGGATATGTTGAAAAGTACCATCAATCCGCCTATCACTGAAACCATTGGAAGCCATTGGCTAGACGACGAGTTTCCAATAAATGGGTAAGGCGAAGAGGCCCTATAGAATGGCTTACTGGATCTCCTGACTTGACGCCTTGGCGCCATCAGGCTTTTTTCTATGGGAGCACTTGAAATCTATTGTGCTTACTCTCCTACCTGACAGTTTGGATGAACTTCGTCAACGCATTATCGAAAGCTGCCATGATATCTCACAACATGTTTTTGAAAATTTCCGTCAGGAATTTGAACATCGACTACGAGGGATGTCTTTTAAGTTTTACATATAGAAACATAGTAGGCCGCGCGGATCGAACGTCAGTACTGAATCTTAACCTCACTCTTTAGTAAACTTGAATTCAAAGTTTCTCAACAATACGTGCAGTGTTCTGACCGCAGTGAATTTTTAAGTGTCACCAAGTCATTAGAAAAATGGAACTCAACCGAGAACATTTTCGCGCCATAATTTGTTACAACTTTCAGAGACTATTGTCGCAACAAGAATGCCTTACTGAGTTACTGTCTGTTTTCGGCAACGAAGCGCTACATCAGTCGACAATTTCCCATTGGTATGGAAAATTCAAACGTGGACGGGTGAGTCTTAGCGCCGATCCCAGGATGGGTGCATCAGAAACGGCAGTCACCCAGGAAAACGTCGATGCTGTGCGCAAACTCATCATTGAAGATGGACATGTGATATATCGCGAGATTGAGGCGTCCTTGAAGATCTCAAAGACCTCAATTCAAAAAATTTCACATGAAGAATTAAGAGTAAGAAAATTCTCGTTTCTCGTTGGATATCCCACCTGTTGACTGAAGATCAGAAAGCAACCAGGGTTAATTGGTGTCAAAAAACGTTTGACCGTTTCAATTTCGGAAACTCAAAAAATATGCACAGCATTGTTGGTGGTGATGAATCGTGGATTTACTGCTGTAATAAACCAGAAAATAAGCGACAGTCGGCTGTTTGGGTGTTCCAAGGTGAAGAAAAGCCAACAAAAGTCATCCGTACAGAAGTGTTTCGAAAAAGATGACATTTGAGTCAAAAGCGGGTCATATTGCAGCAATTCCTCTTAATGAGCAAAGAACTGTTACTGCGGATTGGTATACTACCATTTGTTTGGCAAAGGTCATCACCGAGCTTCGAAAAATCAACCCCGAAGGAAGAATCATCCTCCACCAAGACGATGCAAGCTCGCACACAGCCCAAAAAACAAGGCTGTATTTAACGGAAGAAAACGTGGAATTATTGGACCATCCTCCTTATATTCCCGATCTTAGTCCTAACGATTTCTTTACTTTATCGAAAATTAAAAACAGACTGCATGGTCAAAGGTTCCAGTCACCAGAAGAAGCAGTTGACGCATTCAAAAATGCCGGTTTGAATCTGCCAGCAAACGAGTGGAATAAGTGCTTCGAAAATTGGTTCGAGCGCATGCAGATGTGTATTAATCTTCGTGGAGAATACTTCGAAAAACGATAAAGTCGTTTAAAACTACCTACCTTGTTGTTTTATTTCCATAACAAAACTTAAAAGACATCGCTCGAATATCATTGTTTGGCCAATAACATTTGGACACTTATTGAAATAGAAAGTGATGTTTTCGTATGTTTGTATTTTCTATTGGAACAAATTAAGATACATAAATGTTTTTCTAATTTTCTTGAAAACGAGTCAAACGATTTTAAAAAATCAATCGTTAAAATAAAGAACTTCAAAAGACATTTCAAGCAAGCTGTTACTCGATACCCCTTGTCATTCAAATTTCTTAAGGAATGACCCTGGGGATCAGAGGGTGAATGGGATGAAGTAGTTTTTGGTTAAAAATTTGTCCCCGTTGACAAATCTTGTGATATGCCTCGGCGTTTTTTCTTTTACTCAGTGGTTTTCAATTAATCCGTAGTGCGAAGTTTTCAAATGAACACCTTGTATAGAGCCTGCACATCCTACTATCTAATATACATATATATATATATATATAAGAACAATCAATCGCATGCATACACAACACAAAAATAACACTGCAAGTTCTTATAAAAACTGCCTTACGAGGCTCTCTTCTAGGATACAGGTCCCTGAAGGACGCTACTGGAATTCGGCTTTTCCCAAATAACCTTTAAATGACACTGTAGAATTCAACAAAACTTTGACACCTTAGATTGCCAGGGACAGACTAACCGCAACGGAATGTTGCTAAAATTTTTACACCCTTTATGGTAATGACCCAATTATGATGACATTTAGCTGAAAACATTTACTCTTGCTTGACAAACGGATGTCTTTCAAATAGTAGCTTCAAACAGTCGTCCAGTTAGTTAAATATTTATCAGTTATTCATTAGAGTGCGTCTTCTGTAACTTAATGTATGTCCATCATTCCTCTAAAGAATTTATAGGGTGGATCTTTGTATTTCACTGACATAAATGAACAATCTCATATGTCTGACCTGCAACAAAGCTAGGAAGGTGAGCACGTTATAATGGAAGTTAATTATGGAGTTGTTAAAATGGTCACTAGATTACCAACCGATTTGATTATTTTAAATTTCGTTTTATTATAACGTTCCTAATTGGCCGAATTTGATCCGAAAATCAAAGTTTATGAAGAATGCTTATTATGGGGCCCTATTACACAAATCACATATTTTTTCAGTTTGAGAGATATTGGTTGATTTTGATGTGCGGGTCAAATGTCAGATTTCTGATTGGTAGAGTGTCATCCGCTGATTTATAATGAAATCGGGCCTGAATGGAGTATCAGGTCGTGTGCATGACTTGATCTTCAAACATGTGCAATAAAATTGTCAGACCTCTAAATTGATATATCCTCTATACAGTTGCTAAGCTTTCTCTGATGAACTTCTGAATACACGTCACCAACATGAAAGTTTGATAAAAAAAGGTAGAAGTTGCCGAAAGTGCCTGGGGTGATACAGTTTTTTCGGCATTTTGTAGGCTTTCACAATTATTATTCGATGAAAAATTAAAATGGTCAAACTTCCATTTTTCGAGGGAATGGTATGGAAAAAATTAGTAATTACTGAGTTCATCACAGATCTTTCATTTTTCATGATGCTTCCGAACCCGTTATTTATCAGCGTTCCAGATATACAACTGATTCGTTTTTAGTAGATCTCGATATTCAGCCAGTTTAGCGAGAAGGTTGCTATCGACCTCTGCCAATATAATTTTTCCCACGCCTAGTGGCAAGGAAGTATTACTATCGCGACATTTTTAGAAAATGAGATCCCATGTTTTTTTTATTAAGTGACAATGAAAAATCATGTGACTGACTTCCATCGGTCTGTCTGTCGTCCTGTCTGTCCGCTAATCCCTGTCGGGTCTATAAGTGGAAGGTACTGCTCAAATTTGGATGAAACTTTTACACAAGGTTATAACTACGCCAAGGACGAAAGCGCTATGTAATTTTTGAAAATCGATCCAGTGCTGTATGGCTGCAGTGCAAAATTCCAAAAACGCAAAAATAAAAATCGCACAAACTTCATTCCTTTGTGACATTATTAATCATTTTTGGAAATTTTTTTAAGGTAAAATAATATGGGGTTGGCTGGTTGTAGGAGGGAGAGGGTAGATCTTAATTTTGTTATGTATATTAATACACTCGCAACCTCGCCAAGTGGAAAAAGTGTTGCATGCAGCATGCCTTGCCCGCCGTCGATTTCCCTTATAAGCGAATATAAATCAAAATTATATCTCTGTTCAGTTGGCTTAGCAATAGAAGATATTGACCATTTTCCTATATAAAAGTGTTTGAAAGATATGCTCAATATTGCTACTGTCAATTTTTCGAGTCTAAGTGCTTGTCATAGTCGATTGAGAGTACAATTCAGTATCTTGACAGTTAAAAACAAAACATGAAAATGTTTATGATTTTTTTCAAAATCACTCTGACTAAAGTAATTAGTCAAAATTTAAAAAGAACTTTAAAATTATTAGGCGCTAAAATATTTTTTTGCCAAAAAGTGTCTTCAGTACCATGAAATTATTATTAGGTATAGAAGAATTTGTAGATTTTGTAGATTTCTGAAAATTGTTAAAGAAGATTTTCTAGCAGTAACTGACATCAAAGTACCTAAGTGCTTCTGCATCAACATACAGGTACCTACAATGTCTTACCGAAAACGTTTTTTAGACCTCAATTATGTAAAAAATAAATACCGCACCTCATTAACTGAGCAACGTATTTGTGACTTGTCACTGTCAACATCGCCTAAAGAAAAAAAAAACACTACAATAGAAACATTTCAGAAATCATATTGTATCACCTTAGATTCAGAATTGATATGTCTTTATTTCACATAGCAATAATTAGATAATTGATTTTTTGTCTCACAAGTCCTAAGAGTAACTGAAACAGAAGTTGTCAGTAGCGTGCCGAAAATGTCTGAATCGTCCTTTGGCCCGGTTGTTAAAATAGATGAGCAGTCTTGATCTTTTATCTACAACTATATGATGGTAGCAGTGTTTAGGCGTCTACTGCGTGCCGCGTTATAGACTTTTGTAGGACACCATTTAAATTCAGTAATGTTATCTCCGTTCAATCCTTCTATTCAATAAGCGCGTACTTTTGGAGTATTTCCATTTCCTCAAACAACATGAAATACGTGTACTTGAAACTGCCGTTAACAATATTTCTTAGACCAGTCTGAAAGTGCGCATTTGTTTGTAGGAAGTGTTTAGTAGTTTGCCATAGTTACGCGTTTTCTGATACCAACACCTTCTGAATGCAAGTCTAGAAACATTTAAGATCACATTCAGCTGCTCCCAACTCCATCGGTAGAGAGTAAGACTTCGGCACTGCCTAAAGAGTCCAGGAGGCTTTTTCCGATGGGGACCTTACTGTGTTTTGGTCAGAAAGTTTGCTTGTACCACTGGACCATATTCTAGCATCGTACGAGGCATAGCCCATTGAGCCGCATCAATAGATGCGCTTTCGATTTCACGGGTAGAGATGGCTCCGTATATGAATCTGGAACTAGATGTGCTTGATATATCGGATCGACTGAGGCACGAATACGTTCAGCTCAATTTCTAGCAGTCTTACGCCTTACCTCCAATAACAATTCCATTTATATTTATCATCCAACAATCGGATTTCAACATAACGGTCCAGGATCTCATGTACCTAGAAGTGTCCCTCATTCCTTTTATATTGTTTCGGAGGTAATCAGCCAATATGTCAGTACTCATGCTCCACTAGGCCCCAGGAGATTAGGCTCACGAGCCACCTCAAAATACATACCGGGTGCGTCAAATTCGACCCTCACAAAGTCGCTTAAATGGGGGAAAGTTGCGATAGTTGTTTTTTACTGGTTTTATTTGAAATGGAATTTCAAAATAAATTGCAGATTAGCATTCCCGTAAGAGTGCCGAGTCAAATTCTCAATTAGACGTTTCAGCTTTCGATCAACATGCTCAAGTTTCTTTTTCCTTAAGGACTCCCTATTGAAATTTTGCACAGTGGAACACAATTTTTGATTCTGCGGTTAGTTATAAATATTATATATTTATGTCAGGATAAACTTTACAAATTTAATTAAAGCAATATTGTTGTTTGTAGTATTTGAATGTAGAAAATTCTAATATAGCGTTCATATGAAAAAACAACAGTTGGTGATAGAAGTTGAAAGAAGAAACCTCGAATTCAAAATTTGAACAATCCATCTTGAAGATGAGAAAAAGTAACGATGGCAAAATGCAATTTATTTTGAATTTGAATCTTAAATACAGTCAGGAAAAAATAAAAATGATTTTGTGACAAATCTGGTATATGAAACAAATGACTATCTGGTAATTTCAAGGCCTATCTAGAAAATTCTGTTTTTTTTAAATAACCAAGGTTTGGTAATGTCCATGTATAACATAATACGAGTATACATTTTTGGAAAGTTGATGCTGGAGGACAAGAGATGAAGCGTCATGTCGAAGTTCTAATCTTACCGTCTTGTAGAGAAGAGAAAGCGGCAATGTTAATGTGCAATTTATTTTTAAATCCCACTACAAATAAAGTCAGAAAAAAATTAAAACGATTTTGCGAAAATTCTCTTTTTTACGTCTCTCGCCCGAAGTAAAACTGACACACACACATTGAATACAGCATTGCGAACAATATATCAAGTCCGCAACCTTGTTTTAATAGGATTAACTGTCATGAATATCACGTTTTGTCATATATATATCCCCCAAAAAGGAAAAATATATCATAAGAAACGGAACGTCATTCATATAAGGCATCGGCAACGATTATGGCCCGGAATCACTATAAAAACACGTAATATGGCAATACTCATTCTCCTTTCTTCTGTCATAAGAACACCATTCATTTCCTTAGAAAAAGTCCAGAATTTTTGTCTCAATTCCCTCCGACTTCGATTTTTCAGTGGTTGAATGTGAACAATGTCATGTGATTTAGTTTTCTTTTACCTAAGATCGGTAGAGAAGTCTTGTGGGTCTTGATACTAT